GTCTGATGAGTATGGAGGATGATGAAGAAGTTCCAACTCCAATTCCTGTAGTTTTGCCACAGTCATTTGTGCAGTGTGTAATCTAACGTTATCATGCAATAAGATGGGAGTTGATTTGTTGACCAATATCTAGGTTGTTTTTCTTTAAGTTTTTGCATCATTTCGTCCAGTTGGTTGCAGTATATTTCTGCTGTGATCGGCGAGCCAGGTTTCATAAAGTCATAACGGATCTCACCTGCGCTAGACAGGTGTGATAACCTTTGATTCTGAGCAAACGCGTGGCTCATTGTTGAGGTCAAAATAACCTGTACGAAATTTGGCGAACCAATTTGATACTGTCTGCTGTTTAGTTACACTAGAGCCAAATACACTATTAATGTTTCACGCGTCTATTTCGTAGTTCCACGTAAGAGCTCATACTTCATAATAGCGCGAATTTTCGACCGTTCCATGTTGAACAAAATTAATTTTTAAAAAAGTTTTCAATATTTTTTAGAGCTTAAAATAATTTCATTAAACAAGCGAGATTTGTAACTTCCCAACAAAAAAAAAACAGAACGGTAAAATATTAAGCCGATGTCAGATAATAAATGGTTGAAGTTGGCAATATTATCAACTACAAATTTCATCCTTGTCAACCTAATAACATCGATCTCTCTTTCTCTATCTCCGTTCGATTTAATCGCGAAATTTCATCGAAACAAGCTCGTCCGGCTTGCAACCTGTGCACGGACAAAGGAACTTCGAAGAATCCTTGAACAGCGAAATTTCTGTGCGCGTTTAATGGAATTTTTATTATAATTTTATCTCGGCTCGAAAAAACACGTGATCCAGGCACGGAGATTCAAGGATAGCGCGTCAAGTTTGCTCTTTCGCTGGCAACGATAACATTTAAGATGCTCGATTCCATCATCGATGCGAATATTGATCTCGCGCCGGCGACACGACGATCCGTAAATTCGTGTTCCCGATCGATAGGGTTGCAGACGATCGAGAACCCACGTGGTCGGGATCGGTGAAAGAGCGCGCAGAAATGCGGAGAAGCGAGGACTGCCGAGCGGGAGCGAAAAAAGACGATCGTTTTGAAGGGTCGATCGGCCCCGCCGCGTGCAAGCGCAGTTTCGTTAGTTGGCGAGCGCCGTGCTGTCGGTATCTCTTCGTCATACTTTTTTTTTTCAATTGTTGTCGTGCCTCCGATAGCCGTAGGTATCGAATCGCGATCGGGCCGTGTTGTAGAACCAATTGTCTTGTTCGTCTGAAAAAAAAGAAAGGTAACGGTTCCAACGTCGCGTAAGAACATTCCTTTCTTTTCTTTTGCCGCGAGAGATGCAGTTTTTTTTCATCGTCGCCATGTAAACGATCGAGGAGGGTTTCCTCAAGAAGTGCTTCTTTTTTTTTTCGTTCGTCGTGGCCACGTGCTCGCGCACTGTACGTCAACAGTTTCACCGACTTCTGCTCCGTGCAACCGTGCAAGGTACGCCGATCGCATTTTATTGCTGCTATACATATTCTTTAAGACGTAATTAATCTCGCGATTAGTTTAGGCGACGACGTTATCGCGCCCCTTTGATTCAATCGCCTCTGCTAATCCATGCACAGATTTTACATTTTATACTGTCTCTCTCTCTCTCTCTCTCTCTCTCTCTCTATATATATATATATATATATATATATATATATATAATTAATTCTGGTTTTTGATAAATTTTTTGATAATTTTTAATTGCGAATTCACATTCGTTAATTTTGCCGATAGTTACATCGGCATTGCGCAGTCGACTGTCCGATCGTCACGGAATAATTTTTCACTGCTTTTGTTTGTACAATGAAATGTCCTTGCGAATTTTTCCGTTCTCAAAGTTATCACGGTTTTATCTTCCAATTACCCTAGCCAGTAGGAAGCTGGCCTCGGTTATTTGAATTCCGCTCGATCTTGGTTTTCCCGCGTCGAACGCGGCAAGTGTTTCCAATGAACATTCTTATTCATCTTCGCGCGAAACTTTCGAACGATACAAGAATATGCAAACTATATACGTACTATGAAATTCCGCGCCGAAAAAAAAACAATGACACACTTACCTAATCGTATGTATTCAGTACACTCGTTGGACTTTGTTGTACGCCATTCGCGTTAGTTATTACGGATTATTCGAATCGTTGTCTAATCAAATGACAAAGACCCGCCAAAGATTTTACAAGAAGAAGATTTTACCTGAAGAACCGGGAAACGAATCGAAACGCGAACCAAGGCACATTCGTCGAGAAGGAAGCGAATGGCCCAATTCCGGACAACTCGTTCAAGAGTATAACACTTAGATGACCGCATATTATTTCCCATAAGTTTACTCCCAAGACCAGAAACAGTGCAGCAAAAGCATTGCGGTATGCTTTGAGCGTCTTCTAGTTAAATTTGTACCACAAAATTGCCATGAAAAGCTTCTAGATTTAAATTTATACTCCAAAATTGCCTTGAAAAGCTTCTAGATTTAAATTTATACTCCCAAATTGCCATGAAAAGCTTCTAGATTTAAATTTATACTCCAAAATTGCCTTGAGAAACTTCTAGATTTAAATTTATACTCCCAAATTGCCATGAAAAGCTTCTAGATTTAAATTTATACTCCCAAATTGCCTTGAGAAACTTCTAGATTTAAATTTATACTCCCAAATTGCCATGAAAAGCTTCTAGATTTAAATTTATACTCCAAAATTGCCTTGAAAAGCTTCTAGATTTATGGTTCTGTTCTTCTTTATCCGATCATCTTCATTCTTCCGATTGTTCGGACTCGTTCGAACTTACGTTTAATTGCATATAGTTTCACGTTTGCGCGCAATAATCTCGTCGTCATTATCATTATTTCGGGCACGCCTTTCAAAATTTTCCAAATTAGTGCTATCGTACACACTATCTTCGGAATAAGTATATCGCTCGATATATCGGACAAATCGTCTGCGCGACACTCCAGAGAATCCGTTTCGTTACGCAAATTAGTATTCCTTCTTGACATTATTCGACGGAATTTAATATTCTTTAAATTGAATTTGTTACGAGAATACGAAATTTCATGATTTATATACGCATTAAACTCTGAAATATGCAAAGGTTATCGAATAGTTTATAATACTTAGCAGCTACCGTTAGATCAGATAATTTAACAAAAATGGAGAGATAAAAACAAGTCTGGTCGCCGGTCTCATACGTTTCAGCACGAGAAATCTCGCGAGCGGTCGTTTAAGTGTTAATACCGACGAAAGCCGGCGATTGGTCAAAAATGGACGAAAATATCTTCTTCGGATCGATTAGGAGAAAAAAAAGAACGGTGTCCCGACGAAAACGAGGTCGTCGCGTGGATCGAAATCGGCACGATCGAAAAAAGCATGTACCTTATGCGCGATTATCATCGTGGCACAGTATTTCATCGTTCGTTGTGCGTCCGACCATACTTTCTAGCTATTCGACGAGGATTCAAATTGCTCCCGCGGCTTTCACGATTCCTTAATTTTCACTCTTTTTGCCGAGCAACAATCGAAGATCGCGGCACCGTTTCACGGCTCCGGAGGGGATTACAGTAATGTCTCTCTAATTGACGCCCGGATTGCGCACAAAAATGGACAATTTCGGAAGAGGAGATACGATTATTCGAGCCTTGCGGTTTATTTTTATACTTATAAATTGTCCACGATTATAAAAACGAGTCGCAAGGCTCGAATAATCGCATCTCCTCTTCTCAAATTATCCATTTTAATGAATAATATGGGCGTCAGTAAGGAAAACATTAATTTACAGTAATGTCTCTCTAATTGACGCTCCGAGTGTCCACGAGAATGGGCAATTTGGGAAGGGGAGATAGGAATATTCGAGCTTTTAGGGTCGCTTTTATAGTCACTGATTCTCAACAATTACAAAAACGGGCTACAAGGCTCGAACAATCGTATCTCCTCTTCCCAAATTATCCATTTTAGTGGATAATCTGAGCGTCGGTAAGGGAAACATTACTGTATTCTGGGTCCGCAGCGACGTGGAGATTCTGGGGAATTCTAGCCGAGCATTTGCACAACAAATATACATCGCGGCGATAATTTATTTTCAATCGTGACCAGCTTTCGAGATCGCGCATCGCAGAAACCACGTACGAACGTTGGGCAGAGTATGACGCCCGAGTGTTCCCCCCGACCGAATTCAGTATCTCAGAATCGTCGGTTTGCGATTACGAAGTCCTGACACCCTGGAAATCGGTTCTCCATGGGTTTCGTGGCTCGAAACGCTTTTCGTTGTATCTCTCGGTTGACTGTAAGTTTATCGGCGTGCGATCTATAGTAATGTCTCTCTAATTGACGCTCGGATTGTCCACTAAAATGGACAATTTGGGAAGAGGAGATACGATCTGTCTCTTATACACATCTAGATGTGTATAAGAGACAGATCTAAGTGTCAATCACGGAGAATTTATTGTAGAGTAATGTCTCTCTAATTGACGCTCGGATTGTCCACTAAAATGGACAATTTGGGAAGAGGAGATACGATCTGTCTCTTATACACATCTAGATGTGTATAAGAGACAGATCTAAGTGTCAATCACGGAGAATTTATTGTAGAGTAATGTCTCTCTAATTGACGCTCGGATTGTCCACTAAAATGGACAATTTGGGAAGAGGAGATACGATCTGTCTCTTATACACATCTAGATGTGTATAAGAGACAGATCTAAGTGTCAATCACGGAGAATTTATTGTAGAGTAATGTCTCTCTAATTGACGCTCGGATTGTCCACTAAAATGGACAATTTGGGAAGAGGAGATACGATCTGTCTCTTATACACATCTAGATGTGTATAAGAGACAGATCTAAGTGTCAATCACGGAGAATTTATTGTAGAGTAATGTCTCTCTAATTGACGCTCGGATTGTCCACTAAAATGGACAATTTGGGAAGAGGAGATACGATCTGTCTCTTATACACATCTAGATGTGTATAAGAGACAGATCTAAGTGTCAATCACGGAGAATTTATTGTAGAGTAATGTCTCTCTAATTGACGCTCGGATTGTCCACTAAAATGGACAATTTGGGAAGAGGAGATACGATCTGTCTCTTATACACATCTAGATGTGTATAAGAGACAGATCTAAGTGTCAATCACGGAGAATTTATTGTAGAGTAATGTCTCTCTAATTGACGCTCGGATTGTCCACTAAAATGGACAATTTGGGAAGAGGAGATACGATCTGTCTCTTATACACATCTAGATGTGTATAAGAGACAGATCTAAGTGTCAATCACGGAGAATTTATTGTAGAGTAATGTCTCTCTAATTGACGCTCGGATTGTCCACTAAAATGGACAATTTGGGAAGAGGAGATACGATCTGTCTCTTATACACATCTAGATGTGTATAAGAGACAGATCTAAGTGTCAATCACGGAGAATTTATTGTAGAGTAATGTCTCTCTAATTGACGCTCGGATTGTCCACTAAAATGGACAATTTGGGAAGAGAAGACACGATTATTCGAGCCTCGCGGCTCATTTTTATGATCGTGGACAAATTATAACTATGAAAATAAACCACGAGGCTCGAATAATCGTATCTCCTCTTCCCAAATTCGCCATTTTTCTGCAGAATCTGAGCGTCAGTTAGGGAGACATTACTGTATTCGCAAGGGAGATTCGCCGGGTTTCCGGAAACGTTGTATGA